CAAGAAGTGAGGTTCTTACCCACGAAAGCTTATGCTCCCAATACTTCTGTTAGTCTTAAAGGTGCCACAGGAAACTCTATGTAGGTTACCCAAGAGAAGGATAATTCACTGTTAGCCACCTGGGTGTGTAACATGACTTGGGGAATTCTGTGTTGACTCTTAACCCTGGAAAACCCGGACTCCAAGGATCCATTTAAAAAACCCCAGAGTCCACAGATGTTCATTAAAACCAGCTGCTTTTAACATCTGTAATGTTTTAATGCCACCGTACACAAAGACCACCTGCGTGATCTTTAGCTGTATGACGTTTTCTTAGGGCTGCCTTCATATGGACCCTGCTGAGAGGCTCACATGTGAACAGTTACTGCAACATCCATACTTTGACAGCATGAGAGAAGCAGGAGATTTGGGAAGGGAGCATGAAAAAGCCACTCGGAAACCAACCCGGACCACTCGAAAGCACATGCCAGGGGTAAGACTTACTTCAGAGCGTTCAATGTCCCATAGTCTCGGGTAGGAGCTTGGTTCCCTTTTGTAGCTTCCAGCAGGTGGAGTTAGCGTTCTGACACCTGCAGTTTTCGGGGAGATGAGGATCCCCAGATCAGACCAGCAGTGGGCTGCAGAAACAGGGGGCTCTGACTTGTAACCGAAGAAGACAATTAACTGAGCTAACAAGCCAGCCCAGTGCAATCTGAACTTTAGGCCAAATCTTCATTGAGACAGTGGGATTGAACAGGAGACAAATGTAATTAGCCAAAGCCAGTTAGAAATGAAGATGCCTGACAGAACGCTGCCATGATTGTTATTAGATTCAGACTAGCTCATGCTCTCTTGCGTCTGTAGGCTACGCTCTTTGCACAACCCAGGGGCTCCTTGCATTCCTCCCCCATAAGCTCCCTGTGTGCCACCCTTCCACCCCCCTCTATTTCAGGGACTCCCTGAAAATATTCCCGCCCCTGGAACAGAGGCTCTGTGTCCTCCCTACCATCATACTCATTTCTTTTCTTTCTGCCTGGGAGATAAGTCATTCACGGTGTCAGCATTTTAAACTGTACTGGGAGCACGGGCAGAGCTGAGATGGGGATGGTGGTAATGCTGGTAGGTGTATAGACAATCAGCTGGCTTGTCGCTCTATAGACAATTGCAGAGAGGATTGAAACTGCAGTCTCTACTAGCCAGGTCCCGGGGCTCTGTGTCTGCCCCCCACCTTCCCTTTCCTCCTTCCAGTTTCTGATTTTTACCAAAATCACTAGTGTTCTGCCCCTCGGTGCCTAGACCATTTGTTGACATTTTGGAATTCGTCTGACGTGTCATTCAAAAGGTCTTGCAATACATACACACAAAGAGAGAAATGCCGTCAAGCCAAGGGTCGGCATCTTTGCTTCGCTTGGCCAATAAAAGTGCGCCCCCTGAATAAGCTCTGACGTACCAAATGCAGCCGCCTCTCTGCTTGGCAACACAGGTTGCCATGAACACATCACCCAGGAGTTTTGGTCTCTACACTGGCTTCCTGCTGAAACACTGTCCAGCCCAAAGTCTCTAAAACTGATGCTCTCAGTGCTCCAAGGGATTTGCACTAGCCATCTGTGAGTTCATCTTTCCTTCTGACCTTCCACAACAGCTGCATTCCACTGGAACACTGAAACAGCCACACTGGGTCACACCAATGGTCCATCTAACCCAGTATTGTGTCTTCCGACAGTGGCCAAATAAACTTCCTTATTTACTTTCTCCACACTAGTCATGATTTTATAGAGCTCTATCATATGCCCCCTTAGTCGTCTCTTTTCCAGGCTGAAAAGTCCCAGTCTTTTGAATCTCTCCTCATAAGGAAGCTGTTCCATACCTTTAAACATTTTTGTTGCCCTTCTCTAGAACTCTGCCATTCGTACTGTATCTTTTTTGAGATGGGGCGACCAGATCTGCATGCAATATTCAAGGTGTGGATGTACCATGGATTTATACGATGGCATTAAGATATTTTCTATTTTGTTACCTATTCCTTTCCTAATGGTTCCTAACATTCTGTTCGCTTTTTTGACTGCCGCTGCACATTGAGCAGATGTTTTCACGATTCACAATGACTCCAAGATCTTTTTCTTGAGTGGTAACGGCTAACTTAGATCCCAACATTTTGTATGTATAGTTGGGATTATGTTTTTCCAATGTGCATTACTTTGCATTTATCAACAATTTGTTGCCCAGTCACCCAGTTTGGTGAGATCCCTTTGTAACTCTTCAGTTTTCTTTGGACTTAACTACCTTGAGTAATTTTGTATCGTCTGGAAATTTTTCTTCCTCACTGTTTACCCCTTTTTCCAGACCATTTGTGAATATGTTGAACAGCACTGGTCCCAGTACACATCCCTGGGGGACACCACTATTTACCTCTTTCTCTTCTGAAAACTGACCATTTATTCCAACCCTTTATTTCCTGTCTTTTAACCAGTTACTGATCCATGAGAGGACCTTCCCTCTTATCCCATGACTTGCTTACTTTGCTTAAGTCTAGAGCATTTGGTGAGGGACCTTCTTAAAGTCCAAGTACACTATATCCACTGGATCACCCTTGTCAACATGTTTGTTGACCCCCATCAAAGAATTCTAATAGATTGGCGAGGCATGATTTCCCTTTACAAAAGCCGTGTTGACTCTTTCCCCCAACAAATCATGTTCATCTCTGTGTCTGATTGTTCTGTTTTTTACTATAGTTTCAACTATAGTTTGTCTGTTACTGAAGTCAGGCTTACTGGCCTGTAACTGACAGGATCACCTCTGGAGCATTTTTTTAAAAATTGGTGTCATATTAGCTATCCTCCAGTCCTCTGGTACAGAATCTGGTTTAAGTGATAGGTTACATACCAGATTTAGTAGTTCTTCAATTTCATATCTGAGTTCCTTCAGAACTCTTGGGTGATACCATCTAGTCCTGGTGACTTATTACTAGGATTGTTGATTAATCGCGGTTAACTCATACGATTCACTCAAAAAAATTAATCATGATTAAAACAATGAATCACGAGTCATCGCAGTTTCAATCGCACTGTTAAACAATAGAATACCAACAATTGAAATGTATTAAATATTTTAGCTGTTTTTCTACACTTTCATATATATTGTATTCTGTACATTGATTTATATTTGCACTGTAAAAATGACAAACAAAAGAAATATTATTTTTCAATTCACCTCATATAAGTACTGTAGTGCAATCTCTTTGTTGTGAAAGTGCAACTTACAAATGTAGATTTATTTATTTTTGTTATATAACTGCACTCAAAAACAAAACAATGTAAAACTTCAGAGCCTACAAGTCCACTCTTGTTCAGACCAATTGCTCAGACAAACAAGTTTGTTTACATTTACGGGAGATAATGCTGCCCTCTTCTTATTCACGTCACCAGAAAGTGAGAACAGGTATTTGCATGGCACTTTTGTAGCCGACATTGCAAGGTATTTATGTGCCAGATATGCAAAACATTGTATGCCCCTTCATGCTTCGGCCACCATTCCAGAGGACATGTTTCCATGCTGATGATGCTTGTTTAAAAAAATAATGCGTTAATTAAATTTGTGACTGAACTCCTTGGGGGAGAATAGTATGTCTCCTGCTCTGTTTTAACCACATTCTGCCACATATTTCATGTTATAGTGGTCTCTGATGATGACCCAGCACATGTTGTTCATTTTAAGAACACTTTCACTGCAGATTTGACAAAACGCAAAGAAGGTACCAATGTGAGATTTCTAAAGATATTTACGGTACTCGACCCAAGGTTTAAGAATCTGAAGTGCCTTCCAAAATCTGAGAGGGACGAGGTGTGGAGCATGCTTTCAGAAGTCTTAAAAGAGCAACACTCCAATGCGGAAATTACAGAACCCGAACCACCAGAAAAGAAAATCAACCTTTTGCTGGTGGCATCTGACTCAGATAATGAAAATGAACATGCGTCGGTCCGCACTGCTCGGATTGTCATCGGCATGGACGCATGTCCCCTAGAATGGTGGTTGTAGCATGAAGGAACATATGAATCTTTAGCGCATCTGGCACGAAAATATCTTGCGACACCGGCTACAACAGTGCCATCAGAACACCTGTTCTCACTTTCTGGTGACATTGTAAATAAGAAGAGGGCAGCATTATCTCCTGCAAATGTAAAAAAACGTGTTTGTCTGAGCGATTGGCTGAACAAGAAGTAGGACTGAGTGGACTTGAAGGCTCTAAAATTTTACATTGTTTTATTTTTGAATGCAGTTTTTTTGTACATAATTCTACATTTGTAAGTTCAACTTTCATGATAGAGATTACACTACAATACTTGTATTAGGTGAATTGAAACATACTATTTCTTTTGGTTTTTTTACAGTGCAAATACAGTACTTGTAATCAAAAATAAAGTGAGCACTGTACACTTTGTATTCTGTGTTGTAATTGAAATCAATATATTTGAAAATGTAGAAAACATCCAAAAATATTTACATAAATGGTATTCTATTGTTTAACAGTGTGATTAATCATGATTAATTTTTTTAATAACTTGACAGCCCTATTTATTACTGTTTAATGTACCAGTTTGTTCCAAAACCTCTTCTACTGACATTTCAATCTGGGACAGTTCCTCAGATTTGTCACCTAAAAAATGGCTCAGATGTGGGAATTTCCCTGACATCTGCTGAAGTTAAGACTGATGGAAACAATTCATGGATCAAATCAACTCCTCTGCCCTTTGCCATGTGACTGACTGATGATAACACTAGTCTTTTACATGCCTGTCAGCTCTGCTCGGTGTCCCCTTCGGGTTCCCTGCTTTTGACCCTTTGACCCTCGCACCCGTCCTTGTTTTTTCTGTTGCCACCTGTAATTATTTGAGTCCCGGGCTCAGTGGATCCTCCCCTTAGGCTGGGGGAGGGCCCTTTTGTCATGGGTGGGCTTGCATCCACCCATCTCCCCAGAACCCAATATGAAAATAAATTATTTGCCCAAGAAAAATGGTTTGAGTAAAATTTGGAAGAGCTGTTCTAAGGCAAGTTGTATGATCACATGAACAAATGCATATCTGCTCTGGGTCTCTAAGGCTTGGTCTACACTACCCCCCTAATTCGAACTAAGGTACGCAACTTCAGCTACGTG